CGATTGAGCCATTGCACTCCAGCCTGGTCAACAAGAGCGAAACTCCATCACACACACAAATAAAAGGCGGGCACGGTGGCGTGCACTTATAATCCCAGCTACTCGGGAGGTTGAGGCAGGAGAATCACTTGAACCCGGGAGGCGGAGGTGGCAGTGAGCTGAGATTGCACCACTGCACTCCAGCCTGGGTGACAAGAACGAAACCCTGTCTCAAAAAAATAAAATAAAAATAGGGTTGGGTGCGGTGGCTCACACCTGTAATCCCAGCATTTTGGGAAGCCAAGGCAGGTGGGTCACGAGGTCAAGAGATCGAGACCTTCCTGGCCAACATGGTGAAACCCCGTCTCTACTAAAAATACAAAAATTAGCCGGGCGTGGTGGTAGGCGCCTGTAGTCCCAGCTACTCAGGAGGCTGAGGCAGGAGAATCGCTTGAAGCTGGGAGGTGGAGGTTGCAGTGAGCCAAGATCGCGCCACTGCACTCCTACCTGGAGACAGAGCTAGACTCCATCTCAAAAAATTAAAAATAAAAATAAAAACAACTAAATAAATAGACTTAGCGGGGTCTGTGCTACCACCTGGACACATAAAACCTGGATGCTAAGAGGGAAGACATACTGTCTGGCTGCTGGGAGTGTTCTTGAGGACAGAACAAACCCAAGAAGGACAGAGGTGTGTGCAGTCCTCGACAGCCCCCTGCCCTCAGGGTTCAGTTCCCTCCCTGCTTCTCCCTGTTTGCTCCCTGCCAAGCTTCCTGGGTCTCTCACATCTTCGTCTCCCAAGTCTCCACCCCCTGTCCCCCAAACCCCGTGCCTCCCCCCTACACCTCCTTCCCTGTTTCATCAAACCCCTGCCCCCTCTACCTCCAACTAATCTCCCCCAACCCCCCGTCTTCCCCCATCTTTGCCTTCCAGAATTCCGGGAAGTTTCCAACTGGAGGTTTTAATCTGAAAACTCCTCCTGTTCTTAAGCAGTTGGTCCTGGGGTGGCTGCTACAGGATCTGCGTTGGGGACCTTATCAGGATTGAGGCCCCAGCTCCGAAGCCCCAATCACAAATTTCGGGGTGCTCCTCCATGTTCCACTTTTTCCATTCCCTCGTGGGGAGCAAGGACAGTCCGAGGAGCTCTGATACAGCCCTGGCGGGAGCCCAGGCACTCCCCTTGCCAGACCAGGGTGCCATTTCCCTGATGATGAGCTGAGCGGGATGTAACGGGGGGAGGGGGCTGGGACCATCTGCCTTGCGGCCCCATGCCTTCTCTGTGGCCGTACCCAGGGGCTTCTCACAACTGTCACGGCAGCATCCTCAAAGCTGGGCATGGGGGGTATGGGGACCTACACCCGCAAGAGCAAGAAGGCCTGGGGTGGAGAGGTGAAGTCAGTCCTGCCCATAGCAAGCCAGGAGATGTCGGGCAACCTGCCTGAGGAAAGGAAGGAGCCAGCAGGGGACACCTCCGGGAAAACAGGGGCCTCAGACAGGTGAGGGGCTGGAGTTGGGGGGACACCCAGGTGGGCAAGGCCTGGGACAGAGGTACTGGGAAGAGGCCTGGACATGAGATGGGGGAAGGGCAGGGACTTAAGATGGGGGACCCATGCGGGGGAGGGTCTGGGGAGGGAGGCCTTGGATGGGTAAGGGCCTGGAACAGGGCACCTGGTGGGGAAGGACAGGGAGATGTGGATGTGGCCAACGGACAGAAGCATCTGGTGGGGAGGAGGTTGGAGATGGGGGTTTGGGTTGGGGAGGAGGCAGAGATGGGGTCCTCCCACAAGTGAGGGGTTGTGGATGGGGGATACCAGACATAAAAGGGGACGGGCTAGGGAGTAGAAAGGGAATGTGCCAGGGCCCGGAGTGCGGGGGGTCCTGTTGCTCTCAGCCCCTTCTGCAGGCCTGGCAGCCATCCCCTGTGAGGACAGGGACCCACCTCTCTCTCTGTTCCCCACCCGCGCATCACCCTACTTTCAAGAGCGATAATCCCCCTGTATGAGGAGAACCCCAGATGGTAGAGCAGGGGGTTGATGGGAGAGGAAGGCTGGAGAGGGCCGGCAGACCTGTGGGTGAGCCTTAGGGGAGGTTTAGGGGATCTCTGCCACACCTCTGAGCCCCACCTGCCTCCCTCACCTGACTGTGCTTTGGGATTAGGAGCCACTTTATCCAGATCCTGAAGTTGAAGGAATAATATCCAGAGAGTCTCAGGGTCCTGTGAGGTCAGCCCTGAGGCCTCCACCAGGGAGAAAGAGTATCTGCTTGAAGGTGAGTGTGGTGGCCATAGGCAGAGGGGAAGTGCCAGAAATGGACCCTTTTCTTGTAGAACATCTCAGGGGTGCAGGGCCTGGCAGGACACGGGACACATTTGGAGGGACTGCTGGAGTCAGACTGCCTGGGTTCAAATGCCAGTTCTAACATGCTGAGCTGTGTGATGGGCGGCAGCTTATTCAACCTCTCTGCATCTGTTTCCTCATCTTTAAAGTGGGAATATAATAGTACCTATCCTTGAAGGAAGTGCAAGGATGAACTGAGACACTCTGTAAAATGCCCAGAACGGTGTGTGGCACACAGTAGGCATTTGCTAAAGAAAACATGGCAACCCCACCCACAACTCAGCCCCCCCACCGTGTGCCTGCCCTCCGAGGCCTGGACCATCCCACTTGCAGCCAGCCTGTCAGGGACCACCACCCCATTCACAGGAGAATGTTGGCCTCTTCCAAGGTGGAGGCTACTCCCTGGAACCACTTCCACAGTTTGTACAAGGAGCTTCAAAACTCGGCCATGGCCAAGGCCTGTGGGTGATGGGGGCGTGAGGCATGGGTTGGGGCCTTTCCCACATCAGGCTGGGCCCCAGAATATGTGGCCTGGGACTGGAAGGAGCAGTCCCCTTTCTTAACCTTTTGGGACATGTTCCCTCCTGCTTCCTGTCTTGCCTAGAGGTGGGGTGGGGCTGCAGGCCTGGGGTCCTGGGCTCCCTCACCTGCTCGGAGACCGGCTGGACTCCTCTCCAAGAAGGTTTGCCCAGTGAGGAGAAAAGCAAGGAAGAGAAAGTGAAGGAAGAGGACAGCTCATTCAAGCTCTGTGTCCCAGGCATTGTTGCCCTCCAGTCGCCACTGAACAAGACTTTCAGATCCACAGACACAGTGCGTAAGGGCTTCCGCCCCTCCCCTCCCACGTGGCCCCAGGCCCAGGAAGCCTCACTTTGGCCGGTGGCTCAGGGGTGCAATACCAGCAGGTACCACCAGATGGTACCAGAGGACCTAAGATGACCACCTGAGCCCGGGGAGCAGTGTGTGGCTGGGCTGGAGGCCACACTAGGTGTAGCTAGGGTCTTCCTCGGGGTTTGAGGGGGTGGTACTACTCAAGCAGCACCCTTTCCCCCAGCCCAGAGGTTTCTAATGCCTTCAGTGGCTGCCTCCATCCCTGGTTTTCCCATCATGCACTGCTGTGACAGAGGCCCGGAGGGTCCTCTCTCCCAGTAGAGTCCCGGGCAGCCCAGACACGGACAGCAGTTGGGTTAGCGGTGATAGCATACATAATATGATGAAAATCGTGGTTCACATTTACATAGCCATTAATGGGGCAGACCCTCTTTAAGCACTTTTCATGAAATACTGCATTACGACTCTGAGGTAGGTCCGATTGCCACCTCCAGTTCACAGTGAGAACTTGTCCGATGTCACACAGCTAGTGATGGGCAGAGCTGGAATTTGAGTGCAGGCAGTTTGGGTTCCAGATCCAGGCTCTTGAGTCAGTTGGTGGTGGGGGCAGATACCTGCTCCTCACATGCTGTCCCCAGTGGGTGAAGACGCAGGCTCTTATGCTGCCGCTGCCGGAGGAGGCCCTCAAAGTGAGCTTCCTGGGGAAGGCAGGGCGAAGGAGGGGTGGTGCCTGGCTGGCTCCACTCCTGGAATAAGAAAGGGCTGTGACTGAGGGTGAGCAGGAATCACACAGAGCTGGGATGAGGCTCAGGGGGCGGTTGCACTTCCGGGTCCTTGGGTTCCCAGCAGGCTGCTCCACCCTACTTCTGCCTGTCCTCTGCCATCTCCCTGTCCCCTGCCATTTCTCTGGCTCTCAAGTTTCCTGGAGTCGGAGTTGAAGAAGCTTCTGGGAATGCAGCAAGAGTCTTGCCTCTGGAAGCTAGGCAGCCAAGAGGGCTGAGAGCTGCTACCCGGCCAGAGATCACCCTGGTGGAGGCAGGCATTGTGGATGGCCAGGTACGCTTGGCCCGTGCCAGACCACCAGCCCTGCCTGGAGAAGGTGGGGTTGGAGGCTTACCATCCCCTCCGCGCCCTGGGCCCTGGCTCCAGCCCCACTGCCTGGATAGGGTAGACATAATGCCTTCTTGGTGGTAGTATTTCTGAATTCAGGACCCTGGCCACCTGAGTGAGTGCACGCAGCATGCACATAAACACACACACACACACACATACACATACACATACACACACACACTCTCTTCTCCATCAGTCTCTCTGTTTCTCACTTGACTTAGAGTCACAATGTCCATTTTTTTGGTCTCAACTTTGCCATTCATTTGCTGTGTGGCCTTGGGCAAGTCCCTTCCTCTTTCTGAGCCTCAGTTTCCTCATCTGTAACATGAGTGAATTTGTCTAGACAGGCTGTAAGTCTTTCCTGTGCATCTGTAATTCACACGATGCTGCTGTTTTTCTAATCTCTCTCCCATTCTCGTCCACTCCAAACACACATAGGCTCAGGGGAATGACCCCACTGGGTCAGACGGAGTACCATCCTGCTGCTCCCCATCCTTGACATCGGCCTTTAAAGGTTAGACCTGTCTCAGCTTCTCTGAGTGCATGTTGATGGATCTGTTGAAAGTGTGTCGATGACCTTTTTGGTTAATTTCCATCCATTCATCATCTCATTCTTTTATTCAGTGGACATTTGCCCTGACAGTCTGTGTAGCTTACAAAAGGAAAGGGCATGGGGTTTGGAGGCCAGAGGTTTTAGTCTGGCATTAGCTTGTTCTGTGATGTTGAGTAGAGGCCTCAGTTTCTTTACCCGTGAAAGGGGAATGTTGCAAGGACCTCCTGAGATGATGTGTGTGCAGCTGTAAGCTGCAAAGGCACTCCCTTGTGGGGGCTTAGCACAGTGTGATTCACTTCGGAGCAGTGCCTATCAGAAAGACTTGCCACCTGGGGCTGGGTGTGGTGGCTCATGTCTATAATCCCAGTGCTTTGGGAGGCTGGGGTGGGCGGATTGCTTGAGCTCAGGAGTTTGAGAAAAGCCTGGGCAACATGGCAAAACCTTGTCTCTACAAAAAATACAAAAATTAACCAGGCATGGTGGCGTGCACGTGTGGTCCCAGCTACTTGGGAGACTGAGGTGGGAGGATCACTTGAGCCCAGGCAGTTGAGGCTGCAGTGAGCTATGAGAATGCCACTGCACTCCAGCCTGGGCAACAGAGCGAGACCCTGTCTCAAACAAAAAGGAAAGCATGCCTGCTGGGCACTGAGAGGCATCCTTCTGATTGCCCCAAGCCCGCCTGCATGCCCATGTCACAGGAAGCCCGTGTGTCACCTCATCCACAGCCACATAGGCTGTCAGCACGTGGCAGAGCCCGTCACTTTGTCTTTTCACACCGAAGGGTTTGAATCTTGGGATCTGCCCTCACTGGTCCCTCCCCCTTCTTCCCATCCCCTCCCCAGCCAGCCTGCCCTGTCCCAGGAGTCACAGTCCTGGGGTTGCCTGAGTAGTGCTGAGAGGCCTGGGTCATTTCTGGGTGGTGGCAAGTAAGGGCTCAGCCCAGTCCTCACTTTGGGGACAGTTGCCTTAAGAATATCTATCTCCAGTGGGTGTTTCAAAGGTCCTGTCCTCATCCCCATTCCTATCTCCCCTTGCTGCCCTCAGGGACACTGTGTTGAGGGGGAAGCAGGCTGCCCCCAGCCTTTGGGGAATGCTGGGCACCTAGGGAGGGGCACGGAGGCAGCAGCAGCGCCACCTTGGGCTTGATGGGAGAGCGCAGACCCCCCTTGGGGTGGGGTCCAGAGGTGAGGGAGGGGAGGGACTGGCTGCGGTGCTGACTCCTGGGGCTTCCAAGGACCCCCCCAAGTTGGAGGGAGAAGGGATTCTCCATTTTGTGGCAGGGAGGTGGCTCAGGGTTGGTGGAGCTGTGCCTGCCGAGGGGAAGTGGGAGGAAGGTGTCCTCGGGTGCTTGTCTCTTGGGGGCAGGGGAGAGGTTATGGGGTACAGAGAAGACTGAGGCAACTTTCTTCACCCATTTCTGTCCCCCAGTGCCTGCTTCTTGAGGAGGATGAGATGGGAAACTGGCCTCCTTAGTGAAGCCGGCGCTGGCCCCGAATCTGCCCTGCCCAGATCTCCGGAGCTGGTACATGGGGGTATCTCTCTTCTTAGGGTACATCTAAGGAGCCCCTGTGACCAGCGGGTCTTGAGACAGTGTCCATGTGTCTGTAAGATGGGTCTGCCCCAAATTCTATCCCACCCAGCCAACTCGGGCCTGTGATGTTATTAATAAAAATCTACTTTGACTTTGGCCTCATTGTTAGCTGTCTTTGGACCCCGCCCCTCAATCTTCAACCCTGGAGCAAGCCCAGTCTATCTGAGGCCTTGATCTAGTCCCCAGTCTATGCCCAGGGGGCTGCTAGGGCTGCCCTGCTGCAGAGTGGAGGGGCTGCCGCAGGGCGTCTGAGCAGAGAGGGCAGGAGGTCTGGCTGGCCTGACCTGGGGCTGGTGAAGGACCCAGGGCCCAGAGTGCCAGGGGCCGTCCACAAGCCCTGCCCCTGTTAGGAGGGGTGCCCCTGACTTCCCTCCCTCCCTAAGTTCCCAGGCCTTGCCGTAGCCTCCTAGGGAGGATCCGGGAATTCTCCCGCAGGAAGTTCCTGCCCAGCCCGCCCAAGGACAAAGCCAGGAAAGAGGCCCTGGGACAGGGGATCTGCCTCGGGAGGGCCGGCCTGGGTAGGCCAGGGGTCCCTGGTGTCCAGTGTTGCCTAATCTCAAAAGTAAAGGTGGGCTTGGGGTGGGGTGCCTAATGACAGGCCCTTACTGGCCAGGGAAGGAGACCGACACACCTGGCTTCCCAGAGATGAGATGGGCAGCAGGGCCAGGCCTAGTTTGGACACCAGGAGGTGCTGTTCACCAGAAGGTCCTGCTGGCTTCCCTGTGGGGTCCCCCCTTCCTTCCTTTCTGCCTGGGTCCAGGCTCTGAGGCCCTTCAGCCGATGTATGAGAAAAAAAGCTCACTGTCCCCAACTCTTTTCAACATGACTGCTATCCATGGAAGCTCGTCTGATGGTCCCCATGGGTCCCCACGGTGTCTAGCCTGAGGCCTGTTGCAGAGCTGAAGTTCAATGTCAGAACATGATGGCCATTCTTAGTCATCACTGTGATTGATAACCACAGCTGTTGGTTGGATGGCTGGCCCTGTGGCCACAGACTTAGCGTGGGGAGACAGAAACTAGCAGCTGGTCCCCTGCCCTGACCCAAGCCAGCCCAGTGAAGGTGGGAGTCCCCGCTTCTGTCCCCCAGCCTGCAGGGCATGGGTGGAGCCTGGAGAGGGCTGAGGGCTTTCTCCTGGGCTTCCTGGCCAGATCGCATGGAGTCCTTGACTCAGACCCTGAGCTGGGGCTGGGTGGAAAGGCCCATCTGGACTGTCCCCCTGAGTCAGCCAGGAGGCGGCCTTGTGACCAGATGACTCACCTGTGCCCTAATTGCCCTGTTAATCATTTCCTCCCAGAGTGTTCTCTGTTGGGAAGGGTGGGGCCTTGCAGGGCTTCCCTGGGAGCACCTGGATGCGGGAGGGAGGGGCGGAGGGGGGCAGAAACCTTGGTTCGGGGTGTGGGACCCTGGGCTGCTCACCGTTCCTCTCTGTTCCTCATTTTCCCTGTCTGTCCAGTGAGGCCCATGGCACCTTCTCGTCCGCTCCTGGGATTCCTCTGAACTGCGGGGGTCTGTGAGGCTGGGAAGTGTGGTGTAGTTTGCTGGTGCTGTCCCTGGAGCAGGAGGGGGTCTGTGTGCTGGAACAGGCCTGAGGGCCTCTTCCCAACCACACAGCATCCTGGGCTGGTTTCTATGGAAGGGCTTGGCTTGACATTTCTGAGTGGTGAAGGCAGAGGTGACCCAAGGACCTGCTGTGGGGGAAGGCCCCGTGGGTGAGTGCACAGGGCTGGGCTCTGGTCAAGGCCAGAATGGTGAGAGCCCAAGCGTTCCTGAAAGGCCTCAGAGAACACAGCAGGGGCAGGCCTGTGGGGTGGGCCCGAGGACTGGGGAGCACTGCAGCATTGCCTTCTCCCCCTGGCATAGAGATATCTGGGGACGGCTTCCATGGACCCTCCTGCAGCAGCACACTCACTTGGCGGAAGGGCCAGCGGGACTGAAGCCCAGCCCATCGCACTCACTCGCCAGGCCCTGGGAGGGGTAGTATTCCCCTGGAGGGTGCCTTTCCTAACTTGCTCAAAAGGGGCAATGGGCTGGCAGTGGCCCTGATTGCATCCATGAGGTTTGGAGCGTTGCAAAGGGACTTGCCAAGTCTGTCACTCTCCCGGTCTCTCTCTGTTGGTATGTAAGTGTGTCTCTGTGTGTGTGTTTCTGCCTCTGTCCCTGTCTCCCCACGTCTCCCTGTGTCTCTGTCTCTCTCACTGTATCTCAGGTGGGACGAAGGCAAAAGCAGAGGCACCCAGGTCCATTCTGAGAGAGTTTAGGGACTCAGTGGTGGTTGAAAGGAAGGCAGTGGGCTGGGTCATTTAGGAGCTGGGGGTCAGGGTGGGTGGCCCCAGGAAAATGTGGGCAGGGCCAAAGGTGGGCCTGCCCACCTCAGGAGACTGTATGATCCCCCTCCTGTGGCCCCCTGACCAAGACCTCCCACGGAGATGGTGCCTCAGGCCCTGTCTGGGGTCACTGGGTGTCAGCCTTGCCTATACTAGGGTGAAGTGAAGGCAAAACCAGATATTTTGTCCCCCTTCTCAACTAGGAGATGAGCTGGAAAGCAGAGAGGCAAAGGGGGAGAGACTCACCTGGGTTGAAACCCGGCTCCCACTACAGCAAGCTCATATGACGGTGGACAAGTCTCATATCTCTCTGAATCTCAGTCTCCACATCTATGCAATGGGTGAATCATAGGCTTCTCATGTGAGCTGAATGAAGAGCTGCTTGGCTCATAGAAGATTCTCAAAGAATCCACGGGGCCAGGCACAGTGGCCTACGCCTGCAATCCAGCACTTTGGGGGGCCATGGCAGGTGGATCACCTGAGGTCAGGAGTTCAAGACCCGCCTGGTCAAAATGATGAAACCCCATCTCTACTAAAAATACAAATAAATTAACTGGGCATGGTGGTGGGCGCCTGTAATCCCAGCTACTCGGGAGGCTGAGGCAGGAGAATCACTTGAACCTGGGAGGCGGAGGTTGCAGTGAGCTGAGATCGCGCCATTGCACTCCAACCTGAGCGACAAAAGTCAAACTCCGTCTAAAAAAAAAGAATCCATGGAACCATTTTTATGAAGCATCTACTACATGCTAGTCCTGTTCCAGGCAATGGGGAATAGAGCAGTGAACAAGACATACACAACCTCCACTTTGGGGGGCTTACATTACTGCTAGTGAGACAAACAATAAACAGATATGCCAGGGTGACAGGTGCTATGAAGAAAGCTGAGACTGGATAGTGGGGGGGATATCACAGAGGGATGGGGAGGCCTTGCTGAGGAGGTCGTGTGCTGGAAGCCAGGGAGGGAGCCATCGGGGGAAGGGCAGCCGCAGGCACAGCAAGTGCGTCGCCCTGAGGCGAGAGCAGGCCTGGTGGGTTTGAGGAAAGGGATCCGTGCAGCTGGAAGGGCGTAAGTGGGAGGGAGTGGAACAGGAGGTGAGGTCACAAAGGATGTGTGGAGATGATGTGCTTTGCTGATCAGGGGTTTAGAGGTTTGTTTCTCTCTCTTTTTTTCTCTGTCGCTCGGGCTGGAGTGCAGTGGCGCGATGACAGCTCACTGCAGCCTCCACTCCTGGGCTCAATTGATCCTCCCGCCTCAGCGAGGACCGCAGGCGCGCGCCACCGCACCAGTTGGGATTCTCGGATCCAGTGTGGAGAGATGTGATGTGCATTTTTAAAGCTCCCTGGGCTGCCGAGGAGGGAAGGCTGTAGGGGGCGGGGCCTGAAACAGGGAGGCAGGTTCCCAGGCTGCCGCAGACGTGGGGCGGGGTCGTCTGGCTGTGACTTACTACAGAGGTTGTGAGGGGGAACCAGGGGGTACTTACCACTAGGGGGAGCGCCTTGGCCAACACCTCTGCTCAGTGGGGAGCCAGGCCGGCCCCAGGTGGTACCTCCCCCTTGCCCCACATGAGGGACTTGCGGGGGACTTTGTCTTCATCATCCGCAGGGTGGAGCGGGGTGGCTTGGGACCTGGAGTCCGGGAAGAGTCGAAGGCCTGTGGGCGGCCGAGGTCACGCGTGGGCGCCTGCCGGGGGAGGGCGGAACCAGGAGGTTGGCACCGCAGTGCCTGTGTGCACCGAAGCGCAGCAAACACGTCTCGGCCGAGACTGCCCGGCCACCCCAGACTCCAGCGGAGCGTGCGTACTTGGGCAGTCGCGCGCATCTGAGAACCGCCGAACCGTGCCACATTTCCGTTCCTTCTGGCCTCGCCCTCAGGGGTCGACCGGCGGCAGAGCGCGGCGCCTCCTGTGCTGAAGAAAGCTCCCTGGCCTCCAGAAACTCAGTCAGTGGTGGGAGGGCCGGAACAGACCCGCGCAGTTAACCAGATGATGATGTTGCTGTAGTATAGCTTGGAGAGTGCAGAGAAGGAAGCAAGCAATGCCAGCAAGGAGGAATCCAGAAGGCTTCCAGGAGAAGTCACCATTTGTGATTTGGGCTTGCATCAGGAGGAGGAAGTTGACAGGTGAAATAAGGGGAGGGCATGCCTGCCAGGCAAACAGTCTGTGATTGGGAAGAGTCCAGTCTGCACCATGACCCCACTTTCTACCTTCCTGACCAAGTAGGAACCATTTGGACTCCTCTACTGTCCTGGGCCTCCTTGTTTAGTCCACTATTTTATTTTATTTTATTTTATTTTATTTTATTTTATTTTATTGAGATGGAGTCCCTCTCTGTGGCCCAGGCTGAAGTGCAGTGGCGCGATCCCGGCTCACTGCAACCTCTGCCTCTGAGTTCAAGCGATTCTCCTCCTTCAGCCTCCCGAGTAGCTGGGATTACAGGTGCCCGCCACCGTGCCTGGCTAATTTTTTTTGAGACGGAGTCTCACTCTTGCCAGGCTGCAGTGCAGTGGCGCTTTTTCGGTTCACTGCAACCTCTGCCTCCCAGGTTCAAGCAATTCTCCTGCCTCAGCCTCCTGAGTAGCTGGGACCACAGGCACGCACCACCACACCCGGTTAATTTTTTGTATTTTTTTTTTTTTTTAGTAGAGACGGGGTTTCACCACGTTGGCCAGAATGGTCTCAATCTCTTGACCTCGTGATCCGCCCATCTCGGCCTCCCAAAGTTCTGGGATTACAGGTGTGAGCCACCACACCCAGCCTTTTTTTTTTTTTTTTTTTGAGAGTCTCACTGTGTCGCCCAAGCTGCAGTGCAGTGGTGCAATCTCGGCTCACTGCAAGCTCTGCCTCCCGGGTTCACGCCATTCTTCTGCCTCAGCCTCCCAAGTAGCTGGGACTACAGGTGCCCACCATCATGCCTGGCTAATTTTTTGTATTATTAGTAGAGACAGGATTTCACTGTGTTACCATGCCTGGCTAATTTTTGTATTTTTAGTAGAGATGGAGTTTCACAATGTTGGCCAGGCTGGTCTCGATTGCCTGACCTCAGGTGATCCGCCCTCCTTGGCCTCCCACAGTGCTGGGATTACAGGCGTGAGCCACTGCACCCAGCCCACCCATTTATGTTTAGCTCATTTTCTCTCCGCCATCTGATCCACTCAACACCCCCACTCTCACTGCCTTTGCTGGAGCCCTAAATCACTACCCTAGCCTTCCATCCTCTCTCTGCATCTGCCCCACCACTGCCAGGGTGCTGTGGGCTCTCTTCTTGTCTCCCCCTCTATAACCCATACCCATCCTGTACAGCTCAGCCATGGCACCTGCTCCAGCCCTGGTTTCCTCACAGCTCCCTGGTTTTAGGGCTAACAGGATTCGCTGCATGTGTTTACTTGCTCTCCCCACAGGAGGCAAACACAGCATAAAGGCAAGCCCTGGGGGTACGGGCGGGGGTTTCGGGGGAGCTTTGTTTCCATTGTCTGCAGTGTCCAGCACAGTGTCAAGTTCAATATATGGCACTAGACTGAATGAGCAGAGGGTGGCTTGCAAAAGGAGGCTTAAAAATAAGGGTGGGTGAGAGCTGGAGAAGCAGGCAGGGGCTGGATTATATAGGGCCTTACAAGCCAATTTAAGCAGCTTGGCATTCATCCTCAGGGCAATGGGAGCCAGGGCTGGAGACCTGGGAGAGTGGCCTGGTAAGATGTATAGCGATGGGGCAGGAGCTAATGTGGAGGCCTTCACAATGGTCGCAGTGAGAGAGAAGTGAACCTGAACTGGGACAGTGGCAGGTGGAGTGGATAGGAAAACAGAGAAGTGGTTCTCAACTGGGGGCAATTTTATCCCCGCCCTGAAACATTTAGCGTCACCTGGAGACAGTGATGTCACAACTCGGGGAGTGCTACTGGCATCGAGTGGGTAGAGGCCAGAGACGCTGCTAAATGTCCTACAATGCACGGGACAGCCCCCATGACAAGGAATGATCTGGCCTGAAGTGTCAGCAGTGCTGAGGGTGAGAAACCCTGCCCTAGAGGAAAACCCAGAGAATCGCCTCCTCGGTGGAGGGAAATGGAGCACATCTCAGCCTGAACTCTCAGAGCCACGCTGAGGCCTGGTTCTTCTGTATTTTAGCCATGTAACAACCCTGAGCGAGTCACTCAACCTCTTTGCACATCGGTTTCCTCTTTTTTTTTTTTTTTTTAGATGGAGTTTCGTTCTTGTCACCCAGGCTGGAGTGCAATGGTGTGATCTTGGCTCACTGCAACCTCCGCCTCCCAGGTTCAAGTGATTCTCCTGCCTCAGCCTCTCAAGTAGCTGGGATTACAGGCATGCACTGCCACATCCAGCTAGTTTTGTATTATTTTTTTTCTGAGACGGAGTCTGGCTCTGTCGCCCGGGCTGGAGTGCAGTGGCCAGATCTCAGCTCACTGCAAGCTCCGCCTCCCGGGTTTACGCCATTCTCCCGCCTCAGCCTCCTGAGTAGCTGGGACTACAGGCGCCGCCACCTCGCCCGGCTAGTTTTTGTATTTTTAGTAGAGACAGGGTTTCACCGTGTTAGCCAGGATGGTCTCGATCTCCTGACCTCGTGATCCGCCCGTCTCGGCCTCCCAAAGTGCTGGGATTACAGGCTTGAGCCACTGCGTAGTTTTGTATTTTTAGTAGAGATGGGGTTTCTCCATGTTGGTCAGGCTGGTCTCTAACTCCCAACCTCAGGTGATCCGCCCCCCTCAGCCTTCCAAAGTGCTCGGATTATAGGCGTGAGTCACCGCACCAGGCTTTCCTCATCTTTAATAAAGGTATTGGGAGGATTAAGTGGTTGAATGCATATTCAGTGCCTAGGAAAGAGACTGACACACAGTAAGCACTAAGTCCCTGAACTACCGTGATTTTAAAGCATCAGGCCTCTGTCCAGACTCCCGCACTAACTCCACATTGCCCCAGTCCTTCAAGGGCTGATAAGGCCCCTGGCATCTGGCTCTTCCTACGTCTACGACCCCATCTCCTCTTGCTCTCCTTCTTGTTCTACATGCCCTGTCCACCCTGGAAATTTTTTTTTTTTTTGAGATGGAGTCTCACTCGCTCTGTTGCCCAGGCTGGAGTGTAGTGGCAGGATCTCGGCTCCTGGGTTCCACCTCCACCTCCTGGGTTCAAACAATTCTCCTGCTTCAGCCTCCCAAATAGCTGGGACTACAGGCGTATGCCACCATGCTTGGCTAATTTTTGTATTTTTAGTGGAGCTGGGATTTCACCATATCGGCAAGGCTGGTCTCGAACTCCTAACCTTAGATGATCCACCTGCCTCAGCCTCCCAAAATGCTAGAATTAGAGGTGTGAACCACTGTACCCAGTCACACCCTGGGTTCTTTGCTGTTCCTTGCCCACACCCAGCTTACCCTGCCTCAGGGCCTTTGCCCTTGCTGTTCCCTCTGCCTTGGAGACGTTGCCTTGGGAGTCTATGTGATTCACTACCTCACCTCCTGAGGCTTCTGCTCAGCTGTCACTTTCTAAGGGGGTATCTCTAAACCACACAATGTTTAAAAAAAAAAAGGCAATGGGTGCCGGGGCTTACACTTGCAATCAGTCCCAGCACTTTGGGAGGCCAAGGTGGGTGGATCACTTGAGCCCAGGAATTTGAGAACAGCCTGGGCAACAAGGTGATTTTTTTACTTTTCAACAGCTAATTTTTGTATTTTTAGTAGAGACAGCATTTTGCCATGTTGGCCAGGTTGGTCTCCATGCTAGCCAGACTGGTCTTGAACTCCTGGCTTCAAGTGATCTGCCCACCTTCGCCCCCCAAAATGTTGGGATTACAGCGTGAGCCACCATGCCCAGCCTATTTTGCCCTGCTTTATCTTTCCTGAGATCACTTTCATCATCTAACATATTATATATTTAACTGAAATGTAAGTTTCATGAAGGCGGGCATTGTTGCCTGTTTTGTTTGCTGCTGTGAGCCCAGTTGCCTAGCATATATAAAGTATTCCTTAAACAGAGCCAGGCATGGTAGCTCGCACATGTAGTCCCAGCTATTTGGGAGGCTGAGGCCAGAGGATCACTTGAGCAAGACCAGCCTAGGCAACATACCAAGACCCTGTCTCAAACAAAAATCAAACATAAAATATTCCTTAAATAGTGCTTGAATGAATGGAGCAAGTGGAAGACTCTACTAGGAGTCAGAGAAGCAGGAAGGGAATGGAGAGAAGATAGGATGGTGGAAAGGAGTGCAGGGGCTGAGTGGATCCTGAGAGAGGCTGGGGTCCTGGCCTGGCCTGGGGCACGGAGCCTCAATCGTCTGCTGTCCCCAGGCCCTTCCACCCAGGTCTGCTCTGCTTACCAGCTCCTAGACATGGCTCTTCCAGCCCAGGCAGATGGCCAGGCCTGAACAGAGTGTCCTTTCCCCTCTGATAAGCTGCCTCCTTTCATGGGCACGAAGGGCAGGATGTGTCCTGCTGCTCAGGAAGTGCCCAAGGGTCTGGGTGGGCCCCTGGAGTGGGCAAGGGGCTGGGCATCTGCCACCTTGGCAGCTACCCTGTGTGGAGGCAAGGCAGAGAGGAGCAAGGAGCAAGGGGCAGGGGTCAGGGCAGATCCCAATCCCTCCCCAACATGCCCCACTCCTCATTCAGTAAACAAAGCTCTATTTAAATTTTTTTTTTTTTTTTTTTTTTTTTTTTTTTTAGACAGAATTTCACTCTTGTTGCCCAGGCTGGAGTGCAATGGAGTGATCTTGGCTGACTGCAACCTCTGCCTCCTGGGTTCAAGCGATTCTCCTGCCTCAGCCTCCCAAGTAGCTGGGATTACAGGCACCACCATGCCCAGCTGATTTTGTATTTTTAGTAGAGATGGGTTTTCTCCATGTTGGTCAGGCTGGTCTCGAACTCCCAACCTCAGGTGGTCCGCCTGCCTTGGCCTCCCAAAGTGCTGGGATTACAGGTGTGAGCCACCACACCCAGCCAACAAATCTCTATTGAGAGGCTGTTGGGAGTACAGCTGTGAACAGTCCCTGCCCTGGCCGGGTTTCTGTGATTGGCTGCAGCTCAGTTTCTTTTGAACCTGAGAGCCCAGGTGTAGGTTTCCAGCCCCCTCACCCCAACAGGCCTTTTTTTTTTTTTTTTTTTTTTTTTGATACAGGGTCTCACTCTGTTGCCCAGGCTGGAGTACAGTGGCACAATCTCGGCTCACTGCAGCCTCAAACTCCTGGGCTCAAGCAATCCTCCTGCCTCAGCCTCCCAACTGGCTGGGACTATAGGCACGCATCACCACACCTGTCTACTTTTTTGTAGAGATGGGGTTTCACCACGTTGCCCAGGCTGGTCTCAAACTTTTGGGATCAAGTGATCCACCTACCTTAGCCTCCCAAAGTGCTGTGACTACAGGTGTAAGCCACTGCACTGAGCAAATGTTTTTTGGTTTGTTTGTTTGTTTGTTTGTTTTTTCTTTCTTTTTTTTTTTCCAGACAGTCTTGCTCTGTCGCCCAGGCTGGAGTGCAGTGGTGTGATCTTGGCTCACTGCAACCTCCACCTCCTGAGTTCAGGTGATTCTTCTGCCTCAGCCTCCCAAGTAGCTGGGACTACAGGCACACGCCACCAGCAAATTTTGTAAAATGCTTTTTATGGAGGTGGGGTCTTGCTGTGTTGGCCAGGCTCACAAGCCTCCTTCTTGCTCAGCACACACTACTGACTTGGCCCCTCCCTCCAGGAGACTTTTGCTGTCTGTGGCCTTCACTGTCACTGACAGGCAGGGTGGGCTAGGCTCCGTGCTCTCTGGCCCCGTCTTTGAATCTGCACCATGGATGCTCGCCTAGGTTCTATCGGTGTGCTCCAGGGCCTGTAACCTCTGAGGTCCCAGTTAGCACAGAAAGAGAGACCGTTTCTGAGATGTCATCTGTGATGGTTTCAAACGTGGCACCAACATTCTTTGGCACTCTTCCCACTGAGACATAGTATCTATATCCCTCTCCCTGATTCTGGGAGGCTATGACTGCTTCTCTTAGTAAAGTTGGGTGGATAAGTAATAAAAGGCCATGCAGTTTTCGTCTGCTTTTCTCAGGACACTTGCTCTGGGGTAAGCCAGCCCCATGTAAGAAGTCTGACTGCCCTGAGATTGTTGTGAAGCTAGAGAGGCCAGGTGGAGTCGCTCTGATCTACAGCACCCCCAGCTGAGCTCTCAGCTAACAGCCAACACCAGCTGCCAGCCATGGGAGGGAGTGGTCTTACGCCGTGTGTCCAACTGAGTCTTTCAGATGACTCCAACCCCAGGCAACATCAGACTGCATTGACATGAGAGACCCCAAGCGAGAACTGCCTAGCCAGGCCCTTCCCAAATTCCTGACCCACAAACCCACAAACTTTAGAGCAAAACAAAATGGCTGCTGCTTCACACCACTAAGCCTCTGATGTGTTATGTAGCAGTAGTCATCCCTAGATGTCTGCGGGGCACTGGGTCCAGGAACCCTCTTGGATCATCATGGGATTCCCTTCTGAGGATGCTTAAGTCCCTTACATAAAATGACATAATATTTGTGTATGGCCGGGCGCGGTGGCTCAAGCCTGTAATCCCAGCACTTTGGGAGGCCGAGACGGGTGGATCATGAGGTCAGGAGATCAAGACCATCCTGGCTAATATGGTGAAACCCCATCTCTACTAAAAAATACAAAAAACTAGCCGGGCGAGGTGGCGGGCGCCTGTAGTCCCAGCTACTCGGGAGGCTGAGGCAGGAGAATGGCGTAAACCCGGGACTCAGAGCTTGCAGTGAGCTGAGATCTGGCCACTGCACTCCAGCCTGGGCGACAGAGTGAGACTCCGTCTCAAAAAAAAAAAAAAAAAAAGTTTGCATATAACCTGCATCTATTCTCCCATACACTTTAAATTATCTCTAGCTGGGCTCAGTGGCTTATACCTGTAATCCTAGCACTTTGAGAGGCTAAAGCAGGAGGATTGCTTGAGGCAGGAGTTTGAGACCAGCTCGGGCAACATAGCAAGACCTTGTCTCTACTAGAAATTTCAAAAAATAAATAAGTTGGCCGGGCGTGGTGGCTCATGCCTGTAATCCCAGCACTTTGGGAGGCCTGACGTTGGGAGTTTGAGACCAGCCTGACCAACGTGAAGAAACCCTGTCTCTACTAAAAATACAAAATTAGCCGGACATGGTGGCACATGCCTATAATCTTAGCTACTCGGGAGGCTGAGGCAGGAGAATTGCCTGAACCCAGGAGGCGGAGGTGGCGGTGAGGCGAGATCGCGCCATTGCACTCCAGCCTGGGCAACAAGCAAAACTCCGTCTCATTAATAATAATAAGTTAGCTGGGCATGGTGCCTGCATCTGTAGTCCCAGCTACTTGGGAGGCTAAAGTGGGAGGATCACTTGGGCCCAGGAGATTGAGGCTGCAGTGAGCCATGACTGTGCCATTGCACACCAGTCAGGGCAACAGTAATTATAATACTGAATACAACTGTTTTTTTTTTTTTTCGAGACAGAATTTTGCTCTGCCACCCAGGCTGGACTGCAGTGGCACAGTCTCGGCTCACTGCAACCTCCGCCTCCCGGGTTCAAGCAATTCTCCTATCTCAGCCTCCTGGGTAGCTGGGATTATAGGCACCTGCCACCACACCCAGCTAATTTTTGTATTTTTTAGTAGAGACAGGGCTTTGCTATGTCGGCCAGGCTAGTCTGGAACTCCTGACCTCAGGTGATCCACCTGCCTCAGCCTCCCAAAGTGCTAGGATTACAGGTGTGAGCCACCATGCCCAGCCCTGAATACAATTTAAATGCTACGTAAATTGTTATTATACTATACTGTTTTAAAATATGTGTTATTTTTATTTTTATTTTTTCAAATATTTTCAAACTGAAGTTGTTTACATCTGTGGATATGGAGCCACAGATACAGAGGGCTGACTGGAGTAAGCAGAACATTGCTCAAAGCCCTTCCCGGTTCATTCCTTAGTCCCTGCCTACCATAGTTCCTAGGCTGAACCCTCGCTGGACTGGACCCAAAGCTGGGCGATGGCTCACTGGGCTCTGAAAATGCAATGAGGGAGTGAGGCAGGCTGCCCATCATTCCTCCAGCCCCCAGGGGATAAACAGAAAGCACTTGGCCAACCCTGATGGCAGTGAGAAGCCACGCACCTGACAGATGAGCCACTAGCAGCACGTCCCACCCCAGTCCCTACTGTTTGGTCAGGACCAACATGTCCCTGATGTTTGCCTTTGTGCCCATGCTGGCCTTTAGCCAGGCCCTGCCCTCAGCCTCTGGCACCCCACGTCTCCAAGGCCTGAGCTCCTATCCCTGGCCTACTGGCTGAGCAGGACGAGAGCCGGATGAAGACAGGATGAGCCGTCACCAGGGATCCTCACCTCGGGGAACTGAGGCCTTAGATGTGGCTGGGACTGGAGTCAACACTAGAAAGACTGGCAAGAGAAGGGTATGTGGGAAGGAGGCTGGGAAAAGGGGTGCCTCTGGAGGGGAGGGAATGTTTGGGGCTGATGGAAGGAGATGTTTTTCTGTCTACCTTTTTTTTTTCTTGAGATGGAGTCTCGCTCTGTCACCCAGGCTGCAGTGCAGTGGCGTGATCTCAGCTCACTGCAAGCTCCGCGACCTGAGTTCACGCTATTCTCCTGCCTCAGCCTCCCGAGTAGCTGGGACTACAGGCACCCGCCACTATGCTCAGCTAATTTTTTTGTATTTTTAGTAGAGACAAGGTTTCACCGTGTTAGCCAGGATGGTCTTGATCTCCTGACCTCGTGATCTGCCCACATACACCTCCCAAAGTGCTGGGATTACAGGCGTGAACCACCACGCCCAGCCTGTCTGCCTTTTTGTTGTTGTTTTTTGAGACAAAGTCTTTCTCTGTCACCAGGCAAGAGTTCAGTGGCACGATCTCGGCTCACTGCAACCTCCGCCTCCTGGCTTCAAGCGATTCTCCTGCCTCAGCCTCCTGAGTACCTGGGACTACAGGCACGTGCCACCACGCCCAGCTAATTTTCATATTTTTAGTAGAGACGAGGTTTCACCATGTTGGCCAGGATGGTCTCGATCTCTTGACCTCGTGATCCACCTGCTTCAGCCTCCCAAAGTGCTGGAATTACAGGCGTGAGCCACCGCACCCGACACCCTGTCTGCCTTTTTACCACTTGAACATTCCTTGTGACTGTGAAACCCGGTCCAAATACACACATACATGCTCGCATGAACACACGGATAGATGACAGCTGGGAGAAAGCTGCAGCAGTTGCCCTGGATGCCCTGCCTGCATCCCTCAGCTTTCCTCCCCACCTATGAAGGCTGTTTACTGAGATCTTTGGCAACTCTCTGCCTGACGGTCGTTTTTCTGGCTGTGGGAGGATGGCTGGTCATGGCCACACGGCAGGCTGGAGGTGCCAGGAGTTAAGGCCCCAGAAGCAGCCTTCCAGCAATGACCTACCAGCAGTTGATGAAAAACCCTGCTGGGCACAGTGGCACACCACTGTAATCCTAGTGACTCGGGAGGCTGAGGTGGGAGGATCACTTGTGCCCAGGAGTCCAAGGATGCAGTGAGCTATGATCCTGCCACTGCACTCAGGCCTGGACAACAGAGTTTTTTTGAGTTGGAGTCTCACTCTTTTTTCTTTCTTTTTTTTTTGAGACAGAGTTTCACTCTTGTTGCCCAGGCTGGAGTGCAATGGCGCGATCCTGACTCACTGCAACCTCTATCTCCCAGGTTTAAGCGATTCTCCTGCCTCAGCCTCCCTAGTAGCTGGGAGTACAGGCATGTGCCACCACACCCGACTAATTTTGTATTTTTAGTAGAAACGGGTTTCTCCATGTTGGTCAGGCTAGTCTTGAACTCCTGACCTCAGGTGATCTGCCTGCTTTGGCCTCCCAAAGTGCTGGGATTACAGGTGTGAGCCATCAGGCCCAGCCAATTTTGTATTTTTAGTAGAGACAGAGTTTCTCCATGTTGGTCAGGCTAGTCTTGAACTCCTGACCTCAGGTGATCTGCCTGCCTTGGCCTTCCAAAGTGCTGGAATTACTGTGAGCCATCACGCCCAGCCAAGTCTCACTCTGCCGCCCAGGCTAGAGTGCAGTGGTATGACTCGGCTCACTGCAACCTCCACCTTCCAGGTTCAAGCGATTATCCTCCATCAGCCTCCCAAGTAGCTGGGATTACAGGCACGTGCCACCACACCCAACTGATTTTTGTATTTGTTTAGTAGATACAGGGTTTCACCACGTTGGCCAGGCTGGTCTCAAACTCCTGACCTCAGGTGATCCACCTGCCTTTGCCTCCCAAAGTGCTGGGACTACAGGCGTGAGCCACTGTGCCCGGCCAACAGATCTTATCTCAAAAAAAAGAGGCCAGGTGCAGGGTGGCTCATTGCTATAAACCCAGCACTTTGGGAGGCTGAGGCAGGAGGATTGCTTACGCCCAAGAGTTTGAGACCAGCCTAAGAAACATAATGAGATCACGTCTCTACAAAAAGTAAAAAATTATCTGGGTGTGGTGGCATGCACCTATAGTCCCAGCTACTTGGGAGGCTGAGGCAGGAGGATCATTTGAGCTCAGGAGCTTGAGACTACAATGAGCCATGATTGTGCCACTGCACTGCAGCCTGGATGACAGAGCAAGACCCTGTCTCAAAATAATTAATTAATTAATTAATTAAACAAGAAATCCCCTGCTGCCGGGCAGCTCGCTTGGGTCAACTCTGAGGCATATTCTGGCCCGGGCTCCCCGAGCTCCCCAGAGGGCTGTAACTGCCCACAGTGGTAACTGGTTCGATGACACCTCCATTGGCATCCTTCCCTCCCTTGCCTTACTTCTTCACTCCTCTGCTGGTGTTTGCCGTGGCCACCTCCATTCATGTGTGTGTCCTCTGACCTTTGTCTCAGGGTCTGCATTCTGGGACCCCAAACCAAGATACCAAGATGAGTCTTCAACAAACTGATAATCAGGTTGAGAGGTGAAATCCACAGAGGTAGGATAATGAAGTACTATTAATAATAAGAGAGCAAGTATAATCAATTTAGCCACGATGACCTGCCTCTTTTAAGCACTGACTCTGTGCCAGGGACTGATCATTGGGCTCAATGTCTGTTATCTTGTTGAATGGTCACCAGAGTCCTTGTGTCACTCCATTTGCATTGCTCTAAAGAAATACCTGAGACTGGCTAATTTATAAAGAAAAGAAGTTTCGCCGGGCGCGGTGGCTCAAGCCTGTAATCCCAGCACTTTGGGAGGCCGAGACGGGCGGATCACGAGGTCAGGAGATCGAGACCATCCTGGCTAACACGGTGAAACCCCGTCTCTACTAAAAAATACAAAAAACTAGCCGGGCGAGGTGGCGGGCGCCTGTAGTCCCAGCTACTCGGGAGGCTGAGGCAGGAGAATGGTCTAAACCCGGGAGGCGGAGCTTGCAGTGAGCTGAGATCCGGCCACTGCACCCCAGCCTGGGCGACAGAGCAAGACTCTGTCTCAAAAAAAAAAAAAAAAAAAAAAAAAGAAAAGAAGTTTCATTGGCTCATGGTTCTGCAGGCTGTATAGGAAGTATGACACTAGCATCTGTTCCTGGTGAGGGCCTCAGGAAGCTTCCAATCATGGCAGAAGGCAAAGGGGGAGCAGGTGTCTCACTTGGTAAGAGACAGAGTGAGGGAGAGAAAGCAGTGGTAGGTGCTACACTTTTTTTTTTTTTTTTGAGATGGAGTCTTGCTCTTGTCACCCAGGCTGAAGTGTGATGGCACAATCTTGGCTCACTGCAACCTCCGCCTCCTGGGTTCAAGCGATTCTCCTGTCTCAACCCCCCGAGTAGCTGGGATTACAGGCACACACCACCACGCCCAGCTAATTTTTTGTATTTTTAGTAGAAAAGGGGTTTCACTGTGTTGGCCAGGCTGGCCTCGAATTCCTGGCCTCAGGTGATCCACCCGCCTCAGCCTCCCAAAGTGCTGGGATTACAGGCATGAGCCACCACGCCCGGCCTCCTCTTGCCCCTTTCTTTTGGCAAATTTCTCTCTTTGAGAATAAGAATGTTTATCCAATGCCTGTACTACCATTGTATCTGGGAAGTAAATAACTTGTCTTTGATTTCACAGGCCTGTGGATTCTCAGGTGGATCCTGAGGTTAGGAGTTCAAGACCAGCCTGGCCAAGATGGTGAAACTTCATCTCTACTAAAAACATACAAAATTAGCCCATCGCAGTGGCAGACGCCTGTAATCCCAGCTACTTGGGAGCCTGAGGCAGGAGAATCGCTTGAACTCGGAGGGCGGAGGTTGCAGTGAGCCGAGATCACGCCACTGTACTCCAGCCTGGGCGACAGAGTGAGACTCCATCTCAAAACAAAACAAAACAAAAAAAGAGAGAGAGAAAGGGGCAAGAGACCCCACACAAGTCCTAAATCCAGCAGGGCAGTCATTAAATCTTTTTTTTTTTTTTTTTTTTTTTTTTTTTTGACAGAGTCTCGCTCTTTCCCAGAGGCTGGAGTGCAATGGCGCAATCTTGGCTCACTGCAACCTCCACCTCCCAGGTTCCAGCCATTCTCCTGCCTCAGGCTCCCAGATAGCTGGGACTACAGGCGCTCACCACCACGGCCACTAATTTTTGCATTTTTAGTAGAGACAGAGTTTCACCTTGTTGGTCAGGCTGGTCTCGAACTCCTGACCTCAGGTGATCCACCACCCTTGGCCTCCCAAAGTGCTGGGATTATAGGCATGAGCCCGAACCTGGCCCAGTCATTAAATCTTAAAGCTCTGAAATAATTTCCTTTGACTCCATGTCCCACATCCTGGGTAGCTCTGCCCTTGTGGCTTTGGAGGGTGTAGCCCCTGTGGGTGCTCTTGGTTGAAGTTGAGTGCCTGCAGCTTTTCCAGGCTCAGTATGCAAGCTGCCTGTGGCTTTACCATTCTGAGGTCTGGAGCATGGCAGCCTCCTTCCCACAGCTCCACTAGGCAGTGCCCTGATGGGGACTTTGTGGGGATTCCAATTCCACATCTCTCCTCCCCTGTGGCAGGCTATACCCCTGTGGCAGCCTTCTGCCTGGGCACCCAGTCATTCTCATATATTCTCTGACATCTAGGGGGAAGCTGTCAAGCCTCCTTGATGCCTGCACTCTGTTCACATGCAGACTTAACACCACATGGAAGCTGCCAAGGCTTACGGCTTGCACCCTCCAGAATGGCAGCCCAAGTCATACCTGGTGCCCTTTGAGCCACAGCTGGACATGGAGCAACTGGGATGTGGGCAGCACTGTCTTAAAGCTGGGCAGGGCAGCAGGACCCTGGGCCTGGCCCAGGAAACCAGTCTTTCCTCTAGGCTTCTGGGTCTGTGATGGGAGGGGCTGCCTCTAATGATTTCTGAAATGCCTTCAAGGCCTTTTTTTCCCATTGTCTTGGATATTAGACTTGGCTCCCTTTTAATCTTGAAATGTTCTCTAGCAAGTGATTGCCCCACGGCCTGCTTGTATTCCTCTTCTGAAAATGCTTTTTTCAAGAGCCAGGCACAGTGGCTCATGCCTGTGATCCCAGAACTTTGGGAGGCTGAGGTGGGTGGATTGCCTGAGGTCAGGAGTTTGAGACCAGCCTGGCCAACTTAGTGAAACCTTGTGTCTACTAAAAATACAAAAAGTTAGCCGGCTGTTGTGGTGGGTGCCTGTAATCCCAGCTACTAGGGAGGCTGAAGCAGGAGAATCCCTTGAACCTGGGAGGTGGAGGTTGCCGTGAGCCGGGATCATGCTATTGCACTCCAGCCTGGGCAATAAGAGCAAAACTCCATCTCAAGAAAAGAAAATAAAATGCATTTTTCTTTCTCTGCCACATGGTCAGGGTGCAAAGTTTTCAAACTTTTAAGCTCTGCTTCCCTTTTAAATGTAAGTTCCAACTTTAAGTCATTTATTTGCTCTCATAGCTGATTATAGGTTGTTAAAAGCAGTCAGGCCACATCTTGAATGCCTTATTGCTTAAAAATTTATTTCACCAGATGCCTCAGTCATCACTCTTAAGTTCAAACTTCCACAGATCCCTAGAGCTTGGAGACAATGTGGCCAATTTCTTTGCGAGGACATAACACGGGTGACCTTTGCTCCAGTTCCCAATAAGTTCTTCATTTCCATCTGACACCTCATCAGCCTGGCATTCATTATCCATCTCACTATCAGCATTTTGGTCACAACCATTTGACCAGTCTCCAAGAAGTTCCAAACTTTCCCTCAACTTCTGTGTTCCTCTTAGCTCTCCAAACTCTTCCAACCTCTACCCATTATCCAGTTCCAAAGCCACTTTCACATCTTCACATATCTTTATAGCAATGCCCCACTTTTGGTACCAATTTTCTGTGTTGGTCCCTTCTTGCATTGCTATAAAAAAATACCTAAGACCATGTAATTTATACAGAAAAGAAGTTTAATCGGCTCACAGTTCTGCAGGCTGTACAGGGCACATGGCACCAGCATCTGCTCCTGATGAGGGTCTCAGGAAGCTTCCAATCATGGTGGAAGGCAGAGGGGGAGGAGGCATACCACATGGTGAAAGAGGAAGCAAGAGAGAGAGCAAGGAGAGAGGTGCCACATTTTCTTTTTTTTTAAACAACCAGATATTGTACAAACCCAGAGTAACAACTCACTCATTACTATGAGGAGGGCACCAGTCATTCAAGAGAGATCCACCCCCTTAACCCAAACACCTCCTACCAGGCCCCACCTCCAACATTGAGGATTACATTTCTTTCTTTTTTTTTTTTTTTTTTTTTGAGATGGAGTCTCGCTCTGTTACCCAGGCTGCTGGAGTACAGTGGCATGATCTCGGCCCACTGCAACCTCTGCCTCCCAGATTCAAGTGATTCTCCTGCCTCAGCCTCCTGAGTAGCTGGGACTACAGGAGCGTGCCATCACGCCCGGCTAATTTTTGCATTTTTAGTAGAGACAGGGTTTCACCATGTTGGCCAGGCTGGTCTCGAACTCTTGACCTTGTGATCCACCTGCCTCGGCCTCCGAAAGTGCTGGGATTACAGGCGTGAGCCACCGTGCCTGGTGAGGATTACATTTCAACATGAGATTTGGAGGGGACAAATATCCAAATCATATCAGTCCTCTACAGTTGTTACTTCATAATCTCCATTTGATAGATAAGAAAGCTGAGGTTTAGAGAAGGCTTTTGTTCAAGGTTAAGAGCTATGCTGGCCGGGTGTGGTGGCTCACACCTGTAATCCCAGCACTTTGGGAGGCCGAGGCAGGTGGATCACAAGGTCAGGAGTTCGAGACCAGCCTGGCCAAGATGGTGAAACCTCATCTCTACTAAAAATACAAAAATTAGCTGGGCACAGTAGTGGGCGCCTGTAATCCCAGCTACTCGGCAGGCTGAGGCAGGAGAATCACTTGAACCTGGGAGGTGGAAGTTGCAGTGGGCCAAGATCATGCCACTGCACTCCAGCCTGAGTGACAGAGCAAGACTCTTTTAAAAAAAAAAAAAGAGTTAGGCAGTGGCAGATTGGCCTGAAGAGCCTAGGCCCACAGCAGGGGTGGTCCCTAAGCACTGACTGCATTGTGGAGAGCAGAAAAGAGACAGGCTAGAGGTCCTTGGCATGACCTTTCAGGAAGGGAGACATTGAAGCTGAGCCTTGAAGGATGGGCAGATGTTGGGAAGACGAAGAGTCTTGTGGAGGGCCTTGGGCCTCAGTTTTCCCATCTGTCAAGTAGGCCTAATAATAGTACCCCTCACATAGGGCCATTTAGGGATTAAGTGAGTTGATAGAGACATAAAGAGCCTGTAGTAAGTGTTCACTAAATGATAATTATTATTGACTATGAATGGGAGCAATGTGAGCTGTCGGGTGTGGTCCTGGTTGAAGGTCTGAACAGGTTCCAAAGGCAGCCTTCCAGTTCCCGATCCCAGCACCCAGGCCCTGAAGGGAGAGAGCTGGAAAGGCCAAAAAAAAAAAAAAATTAATGAGTCTGGAGTCCCTGAACTTGGGATTTTAGTCAGGCAGGCTGCATTCCTGCATTTTCTTTTTTCAAAGAACATCACAACCTCTGTCACCCAATCTTCACATCTCCATTCCCGACAACCTGGAAGTCCTCCCTGCTGTCTAACCTCTTAGCTTCCTGCTGTGCATTTTGTCTGTGGGGCAAAGAGAGAGCTAATGAATCTCAGTGATTGGCACTGGAGCTGGCTGGAAGCAGGGCAGGTAGAGCCTGTGTGTGGTCCACAGACTGTGGTGCCAGAGAAAACTCACCCTGGGTTCAAAGGCCTGTCTGGCTCAGGATGGAGGCAGTGGGCCAGGGGCCCCCACTGGAAGGTGGAATCAGAGAAGATCTTGGAGGCAGCTGCAGGTGGAGGCTGGAGACAGGCCTTGGTGAAGTCCCTATCCCAACTTCGAGGCTCCTCCCAGCTACTGCTGGGAAGTGTTCAGGGCGGCATCTGTGAGGGGTCCTCTGCTGGGCTGCTCTGCCTTTGTCTGGGCATAACTCCTCAATGACAAGAGATTCTCCTCTCAGATTCCCAGCTGTGGCCCTTCTGTAGCATGGAGTTGACGCCTACAGGCCCTGGCGACAAGCAGACCCAAGTTTAAGTCACAGCTCTGTCACTTATTAGCTTGTGACATTGAGCAAACCCCTTCACCTCCCTGAGCTTTCCTTATGTGAAAAATGAGGATGCCTTGCTGGCTGTACAGCCTTCACCAACCTGTTAAACAGCTGAGTTTCCATTCTCCATCTGGAGCATGGGAATGATCCATTAGCTGTTTGATCGGCAGCAAGACCCAACAGCTTGGTAAGCCTCAGTTTCCTCATCTGTAAAATGGGGACTAGAACAAGTTAAGACTAAGCACCAACACACCCAAGCACCATGGCACCACCTAGGGGTGGGCTTCGGGTGTTGGCGATGGTTGGTTATTTGTTCCTCCTTTCTGAGTCTTCCTCACGTGCCTTGCCCTGGGTAGTTTTCCTCTCAGCTCTCCCAGCCAACTCTGGACAAACACAGAGAGCTGCTGGTGTGCTGGGGTCACTCTTGGGAGTGGCTACATTTTGAAATAGAGCATAGAATGACAGCAGTGCCAACCACAGGGAGGAGCTGCTGATGCTCAGCTTGGCCCAATCCATGTCCATCACAGGTTTGCAGGGAGTCAGGAGCTGGGTTGCAACTGGGCGTCGTGGCAACCAGGGGCACCAAGGCCCTTGGGGAGTCTTCCCCCCATGCCCCTGCTTTGGCTGGGAGGGGAGAGGAGACTGCTGGCACAAAGGTTCTTCAGGGTTGGTTCACCCAGGGACCCAGGCTGAGTGGGCACAGTGCTTGGCAGGAATCCATCTCTGTCTTCTGGGAACCACCCTTTGGAGCTCAAGGAGACTGATCACAGGCCCTTCCATCCCTGGGGACCCCCTTGCAGGGACCCTGAGATTCCACACTTTGCTGCTTCCCACAGCAAAGTGACAGGGATCCCAGTGTTTCCTGTGAAATGAGCCCTGCACAGGGCTGGCATGCAGCAGGGGCCCACTGACAGTCTATAGGATGAATGAGTGATTGGAGATGCACAGGAAAAAGCAGAGGACCTAGGTTGGCCTTCAGCGCCCTCCGAGTCCTTCCGTGGGCTCTGCTAGGCTGCTCCTCTATCCTGGGCTTCCTCCCTTTCCACAGGGACATGGGAATGCTGGGATTAATGTCCCCAGTACTACTCTCAACCAAGAAGCACAGGAGTTAGTGGGTAAACAACCTGCTCCTCACCTTGGCTCTCCCGCCCCTTGGTGGGACAACCTGAAGCTGCAGGGCACAGCCCCTGAGAATGTCGCCAGAAGGCTAGAGCCCCTGTGCCAACCAGACTTGTGCTTCCCAGGATCTTCTCCCAAATAAACCACTATTCCCGAGTCCTGGCCTCAGGGTCTGCTTTAGAGGAACGCAAATGAACCCAGGGTCCCAAGCTTTGCTACTACCGGCTATGTGACCATGAACAAATGAAATAACATGTCTGAGCCTCAATTTCCTCACTCATCTGGTGTCTCCATGATGGCTGCTCTCCACTGTGGTGAGGGTAGCAGGGTAACATTGCCTGGAAGGGTGGGTGCAGTCTATGGACTGAGAGTACCTGGCTGGTTTCCTCTGGAATTGCTCTCCGGGGGTGGTGAAGCTGTCTGCATACTCTAACAATGGATGCATGACATTGCACATTTTCAGAAGCCATGGAACTGCACAAAATGAAAAATGAGCCCTCATGCAAACTGTGGCGTTTAGTTAATGATATGTATCAATATTGGTTCCATAGTTGTAACATACATATCACACCAGAGCACCAGGGTAATCATAGGGGAATCTGTGAGAGGGTGAGGGGGTATATGACAACTCTATATTATCTGCTCAATTTTTCTGTAAACCTAACACTGTTCTGCAAAAGTAAAGTCTCTTAATTAAAAAGAAAAAGAGCAATCTGTGGGCAGCCAGCGCAGGGCTTTCTTCGGAGTTGCTCTCCCAGGAGTCCCACCCACCCTGGATGAGGGTCAGAAGGGAGGAGGATGCTGGCTGGCTGGCCACATGCATCAGCTAATCAGCAGGATGATTCAGCCACTGGACTCCTTCCTGCCCGGGATTCCAGAGGGACTGGCCTGGTCACAATGCGGACTCAGGAGGTTAGAATCTTCCTGTGAACCAGGGGATGCCCTGCCCGTCCCAAGGCCCTTGGGAGGCTGGGGAGGGAAGCAGGTGTGGAGAGAGAATGAAAGCCACCTCCCCAAGCATGACAGCCTGTCTGGTTCTGTCAGCTCCTACACTGTGACATGCCCCATCATCCCCTCAGTCTAGGGGCCCCAGAGGGCAGAAAAGTCACCCTCACCCTCCATATCCTGTCATCTTCAAGGACCGCTGTAATTTGCTCTTGAATCCCTTGAATCTGTCCACTTATCTCCTTCCTGTTTCCCTCCCCCACATCCAGCCCCCGGCACCTGCCGCCTGGACCCTGTGGCAGCCCTCCCAGCAGTGCTGCACTCAGACACTGGGAGTGGGCTTCAAAACCCAGCTACCAGCCAGTCCTCCAGGCAAAAGCCCTCCATGGCTTCTCATTGCTTAAGACAAAGACCAATCCCTTCCTGTGATTCCAAGTCCTGCCTGACCTCGGCCCCATCTCTTGCTGGGCCCCTCCTGCTCCATTACAGCTGCGCTGCTTGCTCCTTCCTGGAGCATATTC